GAACAGTATTGAGGACAAGCTTTCCAAGTTGGAGTCGGAAAAGCGAAATATTGATGAAGAAATAGGTCGTGTTATGCCTGAACTTCAGAAGGTGCTCATATTCTTCATTACCTTTTAACTTGCAAACTGCATGATGCTTGTGACGACTGATTTTTGATTACTCGCTTGCAGTTGGAAAATGTGATAAATACAAGGAATATAAAAATTGTATCACTAGAGAAGAGGATTAATGATATTGTTGATCGGATCTACAAGAAATTTAGTGAGTCTGTTGGCGTGAAAAACATCCGGGAGTATGAAGAAAACCAGCTCAAGGCTGTTCAGCTAATGGCTGAACAAAAGCTTGGCTTGCTTAATCAGCAATCGAAGTTGAAGTACCAGTATGTATTCGATACTTTTCAGGCTATTGAGTCTGCCCGCTTTTTTATTTTGGCTTCATCATATGTAGTCGATTTCGTTTTAAACCTCAAATACTAGTGCAACTGCTATCTACCTACAGAGGTATCAGGACATTCGAACTGCTAGTCGATTTCGTTTTAAACATCATATGTAGTCTATTTCCTCTTTGGGACATTCCAATGGTTCATTTCATTCTGCATCTGATATCATTCTTTGAGCATGGTACTTGTACTAGACTAGCAAATGTCATGGTTGTTTGTCTGTGCACCATCTGCTAGCCAACATTTTCTTAGGATGCCTTCCGATGTAGGCATAACGTGCATGGATGTCTGGCATTGTGTTTGATTGAAGCGGGGTGTTATTGCGCTGAGACTTTTCATTGTGCAATATGCATTGTTCATTTTCTGTATATATACCCTGGTCTTTATGTTATTGTTTTTGGAATTTTCGTACAATCTTATTTGTGCAATTTCTTTACCTGTGGCTAGGTTGGAGTATGAGCAGAAGCGTGATGTTGACATACGATCACGGATTGCCAAATTGGAAGCAACACTCGGGAATTTGAGAAGTGCTTTGAAAGATGTTGAGAAAAGAGAGATTGAGTTGAAGTCTTCCATGGAGAAATCTGGAGATGAGATTGATCGTCTGAAGAAAGAAGTACTAGGTAAAGTACAAGCTGAAAATGCTAAAACGATATCATTTTTTGTCATAGGAATATTCCACTTGTGACTTTTTGGAAGAGTATGGCATGATTCGCCATAGATGTGTTGAATAATTATTTGCCTTCCTTGTTTGCAGAGTGGAAATCCAAATCTGAAGAGTGTGAAAAGGATGTACAGGAGTGGAAGAAAAAGATTTCTGCTGCTACAACTAGCATAAGCAAACATAATCGTCAGATAAAATCAAAGGTTTGTGATCTTCAGGTTACTGTATTATCTATCTCTGTGGACTAGCAACATGTTCATGGTAAACCATAAATTTACAATTTCCCCCCATGCCCCAAGGAAGGAAAAAAAGTGTTTGGCATTTAGAAGCTCTGTGTGAAGGAAATGAATGAATTTACAGGAGGCACAGATTGAGCAGCTAAATTCGCGGAAAATAGAAATACTGGAGAAATGTGAATTGGAGCATATAAGTATTCCAACTATATCTGACCCAATGGATACTGGAGAGCCAACACATGGTCCAGTTTTTGATTTTAGCAAACTAAGTAGAGCTCAACAGCAGAATATGAATCCGTCTGAGCGTGACAAGCTTGAGGCAGAATTCACAAAAAAAATTGCTGGCTTAATGTCAGAAATTGAAAGAACAGCTCCAAATCTGAAGGCTCTTGATCAATATGAGGCCTTGCGAGAGAAGGAAAAAATCATACTAAAAGAATTTGAAGGGGCACGACAAGCAGAGTTGAGAGTAGCTAAAGAGTTCAACAATGTCAAGCAGTCCAGGTATTAATCTTCTCTGCCTGGTGTTAATGAATTTACACACTCATGATTGTACAACACTCTGTGAGTGTGTTTTTTTCTTCCTTTTCTTGCCTTGCAACTAAATTGCCATTAGATGTTTCAAGCTATTTAATCTCTGTTCGACAATAAACCGAGGAAGAATGTGGGATCTTAGTATGGCTTCTGTGTCAAAATGTAATGCAAGCAGCAGTTAAAAGAAACATAGGATCAACCATGATAAAGTGACATTTTATGCTTAGGCCAAGTGTTCTTTTGTTGTTTAGTGTTTCAACAGTGGGGAAGACTGTTATGGAACTGCAGCACAAATGCTAGCTGATCATCATTAGGAGATTGATCTCCTTTTTTGTTTGATAAGTGGAAGTTAGATCAGCAGATAATCTTTTAAGTTGGAAACCTTTAGCCAATATGATGGAAAGAAAGAACATTGTACCTAAACTCAAGTGCTGCACAAAGCGCTGGTGATTCTCTTGTTTGAAAATTTGTGCTATGAAGACCACGGAGTTTTGATTAATACTATGTGCTCATTGCAGAGTTTCTGTATGTGGTGGTCATTGTGAACCTTGAGCGCAAACAAGAGATGCGGTTTTTTTGAGAAGGAAATGAAAATTAAAACCTTGTCCTGAGATTTCCTCATGATTGAATGAAAGTTTTGGTCTTGTACCAATGTATTTTGCACCTTATAAAATGCAGGAAGCGATACAGGCAAGTGGTACACCAGTAGAGATAGATAATCTGTGAATCTTGAGGAACTCTACATGTCTAGTTTTCTTGGATGCCCTGTATGCTTGTAAAATATGAATAAAACAATCAAGATTTGCAGTTACCAAAGGTTAAAATTTTATCATTTTCCCTTTTACATTTGCATAATGTTCATTCACGTGTAAAATCTGGAGAAATGTGACGAACTATTTTAGATGGCCAAATTTTGTATGTCGAATCTGATGAACAGTGTTTGTTGGGTATAGCTGTTTGTTAGCTATAGCTGCTTATCTATATTCTTCGGTTACAGGTATGAAAAATTTATGGAGGCTTTCAATCACATCTCTGGTAATATTGACAAGATCTACAAACAACTCACAAAGAGCAATACCCACCCCCTTGGTGGGACGGCATACCTAAACTTGGATAATGAGGATGAGCCATTTTTACATGGGATAAAGTACACGACTATGCCCCCAACAAAGCGTTTTCGTGATATGGAACAACTGTCGGGGGGAGAAAAAACAGTTGCTGCACTCGCATTGCTATTCTCCATCCACAGGTAAGTTTGAACCCCTTCACCTAGTCTGGGGATCATGTTGGCTAACATCTAGTTTCTTCTGTCTGCATTTGGATACCTTCAACATTGACTGATACGACTGGATTAGTTGTGACTTGGTATAGTATATTATATATCCCTGAAATCTTTAAATTTTTTTCTCTCTGTTTTTCGTTATTTCATGTTGCTCGTATCCTGAGCTAATTTGTAGCTTTTATGCTTCGCTGTCTTCATTGAGCATAGTGGCTTTCTGCTGTCAAGTGTCAACACAAAGTTTTTTGAGTACCTCAACTAAGATGAACATGTTTTGTTTTTCTTCTGTTAACACACTTTTCATGACCAATCAAAAGTGTTGCACTTTTCATGGGTTTCCTGTTCTTGAGGTTATTGTCCTTGTATTTCCAGTTATAAAGCCTCGCCATTTTTCATTTTGGACGAAGTGGATGCTGCGTTAGATAATCTAAATGTTGCCAAGGTTGCTGGATTCATCAGATCAAAATCATGCGGAGGAGCCAGAATCAATCAGGACGCTGAGGGAGGAAGTGGTTTCCAGAGTATAGTGATTTCACTAAAAGACAGTTTTTATGACAAGGCTGAAGCTCTGGTTGGGGTTTACAGGGATTGTGAGATTGGGTGAGGCTCCTTGAACTAGTATTTAACAATTCTTTGCTCGTCTATCTCTGTAGTTTTTCTGGCATGTCCACTTAACAACAAAATATTTATTTTCCAGTGGCTCGAGGACGTTGACATTTGATCTGACAAAATTCCGGGAATCCTGAGGTTCTGACTCTGAATCGCTGATTATCCTGGAATATTTTCATGTACATACAAATTGGGAACTGAGTTTGTCAGGCGAATAGAGATGTTCATTTTGGACAGGAGAGTGAAACCATGAGAAGCAGAGCAGCTGCTTTTGTATATTAATTCCAGTTTTTTTTTTTTTTTTTTTTAACTCTGATGTGCACAGGCCGTGTAAATTGGTGTACCATTTGGTGACGAGGATCTGTAAAGGAAAGGAATTGCTTTAATTGTCACGCTGCAGTCTTAGGTTTTTGAACTTGTTCTCCCTCGGATTTACTGTTTTCCTATTTTCATAATGATCATGCTCGATGCGTCCTTCGGACGTTGTTTCTGCTGGTATTCATTTTGATTTTAAATGTATCACGTAATGCTTTTTCTTGGTAGAGGTAAAAATTTTTCAATAAACAGTAAAGAAATGCTGGTCAAACCAATGATGTGAACTGATTGTCTATAATATCCAATAAAGGCTTTATAGCATTAGCAACGGTTGGTATGTTGAGATTTGAGCGAGGTGTGAAAAGATTAAAACACGGAACGGGAGTGCGAGTTCTCCTGAATCTGGACTGGTTGAATAATCATCACGTGGAATCTGTTGCATATTTTATCTAATTTTAGATGATTGGCAACGCCAAGAGATTGAGCGGTTATTTTGATGCTTGATATCCAGGATTTTGACATTTGATCGTTGCCCCGCAAAACTAGCTCTTCGCTCGCGTTTGATGCCTATGGCAACTGTTCTTTCAAGCTAGTCTTTCAAATAGAATGCGTCCGTGCCAGCTCAGCAACGGCAGATTGCTTTTTTTTTACCTTAAACGGCTAACCGATTTTAGTAATCAATTGATGACGAAGACCCCATATTTGGCAACAACAAAATCAATCAGTTATGTTTAGTAGTTTCAAAATGAAGGCTGTTGTTTCGGGGAGGAGCGCAAAAGTTTGTCATTTTGGATATTATTGTCCAAAGTTTCGAGTCATCTATCTAGCTCCCCTTACCACCTCCAGTCGTTCTCGGGTCGTTCCCCAGCCACCAGTGCTCTCACGTCCTGCAGCCGGAACCCTGGCCGGCACAGGGCGTTAAAATGCCCGAGGATAAGGCCCTTTCCAAGTCAGAGGCAAGGGAGGATGGCAGCAGCCCAAATGAGTCCGAGTCATCAGAAGAAGAAATCTGCGATCAGGCCCCGCTGCCTTCACAAAATGATCAGACCTGTCAAATGAAAATGAACGCATCGCGCAAGAAATCTTTGCTCGAATTTAGGTGCAGAGTTGAAGATGCAATTCTTGGCAATTGCATTTTTGGGGCCAAAGGAAATGCTAGAACCAAAGAGAAGTCGAATAAGGACATTACCTTATGGGGCGTTCCCTTGTTACCTAGTAAAGGTCACGAGGCCACGGACATTGTCATAATGAAATTCTTGAAAGCTAAAGATTACAAGGTCTCTGACGCATTTGCCATGCTTTGCAAGATGATGAAATGGAGAAGGGATTTTAAAGTGGATGGAATTCTTGAAGAAAACCTGTGTCCTAAGCTGCAAAATATGTGGCGAATAGAAGGTGTGGACAAGGAAGGCCGCCCCATATGTTACCTAACTTCCAAGGATTTTTCCGACAGGAAAATGAACAAGAAACTTTTGAGGGCAGATGGGAAATTAGAGGAGTTGCTTAGGTGGAGGATTCAGTGTATTGAAAAGGGAATCCAAATGCTTAATTTTAGTCCCGGAGGGGCAAACTCTATTCTTCAGATTACAGATCTTAAGAATGCACCAAGACAAAGCATCAAAGAAATGCGGTGGTTTTGCAATAAAATGATAAAGTTGATTCATGAATATTACCCTGGGATCATGCACAAGAACGTAAGTCTATTCTATCACATTAATCATTATTCTATGTGGTGAAAGGTGTTATGCGAGTCATATTTGTCTTAGATAATAGTATGTGATTTTGGTTGTTAAACTTCGTGTACAACGAATGCAGTTAATCATAAACCTTCCACTCTGGTACTGTGCGGTCAACGCTTTACATCTCAGGCAAATCACAGCAAAAAGCAAGAACAAGTTTATCTTTGTCAGGTCTGCGAAAGTCACAAGTACTCTCCTCAAGTAAGGAAGCTTTGCTATGAAAGCATATACAGCCTAGAATCTAGATACGTTCAATTTCAATTTTTTTCTTTTCTTTTTTTTTCCCGGGGGGGGGGAGGGGGGTTGTACGACACTATCACTAATATAATGTCGCTTCATTTTGCAGGTATATCAACCTAGAGAGCTTACTAGCTCAATATGGTGGCCTGAAGAGAGAGAATGACATGGAGTTTTCAACCCTTGACAAAGTTTTAGAGCTGAATGTCCCAACAAATACGTATGAGCATATTCAGATTCCAGTAAACGAGGTAAAGATTAAATCAAATATTGGTTTATTTTATGCCCTTAAACTAAAACATAAGTTTTGATTAGGTGACTAATATGTCCTTTTTTTTTTTCAATTTTTGTGGGGGGCGCAAAGCAGGCTGAAAGGATAATAACTTGGGATGTGGCCATCATAGGTCATGATGCTACCTACAAAGAAGAATTCATCCCAATCGATGATTGCTCATACAAGGTATTGCTTCAAAAGGAGAAGAAAATGGGAGAGGTTGTTAGGAATTCTTTTTACATCAGAGAACCAGGGAACATAGTAATTACCATTGCAAACGGGACATTCAAGAAGAAAAAGGTTTTTTATAGGTACAACAGTAAACCCTGTCAGCCCTTGTATAAGCTCACTACATGAGCATATATTTCTTGCTTGTACATCTCTCTCTCTCTCTCTTTTCATCCCTTTTCGATTTGTGTGTATATATATATATATATTCGTCTAAATCCTTATTACTTTCAACAATTGATGATGAATTAAACTTATGTTGCACAAAATGCTCTCTTCACATTAGCTTTTGCTTTGCTTTTTTTTTTTTTTTGGTTTGTTCCCCTTTTCTTTCCACTCTCTAAGTTATATGAATGTGTTTCAAGTTATATACTGAATCACAAAAATGTATACACCATCACGTATTCAAATTTATTGGCAGCTGGAGTCTTGACATCTCTTAGAACACGCCTTATTAACTCCGCAAATCTTACTTGTTCTTTGTTGCCATCCTTATTTTATGTTATAATTGTTGAGCTTGGCTTACCATTATAGTTCCGATTATCAAACTGACAGATCGATTACAGCTTTATTCATTCAAACAGCCTTATTATTGATTTATATACAAAATTAAATAATTTTTATTACGACGATTTTTTGTGGTAGCAGAAGCACACTAGAATAAGAAGCCTTCTAGTATTATTATCTCAGATGCAAACAGAGATGCACCTTCTCATGCAAGAGGAGTTCTTAAAGGATATATATATCATATTAGTATATCATATATATATATATATATATGAGGTGTAAGCCATGAGAGCTTAGTTGCCATGCAGTGGAGCATGATGGCACAATCTATCTACTCACAACCTATTGCATATGTGTCAGTCCATTGCAAACCAAACACCTTTTCTCCTCCTATGAATCCCATTACTCCCCATTTGCCACCCTCACGTCAGCCCAAAGGTGCCATTTCCTTAATGCCCCCTTAGCCTCTTTATCTGCGGTACAACTGCATACTGGTAAGTTTTCCTTCTTGTCTCTTTTCTTGGGTTTTCTTTGCCTTTTCCATGGCTGCTTCAGTCAGCAGCAGCAGCAGCAAGGCCGGTGCCGAATCCTAAGAATCAATCCCCAACAACCCAGTGGTAAAATCCAAGCAGAAGCTGGAGTAACGGAGTTCTATGACCATAATGACGTTCAGTTCCAATGTGCTGGAGTGGCGGTGCTTCGTCACACCATCAAACCCAGAGGGTTCCTCTTGCCTTCTTATACTAATGCTCCCCTACTTGTCTATGTGGCCCGAGGTAGGTTCCATGCAATTTATTTTAGTACCATCCACGTTCAGCTCGTGATTTTAGTCTACTATCATAATTTTTGTAAAGACAATCACATTCATTCATTATTAGTCAATGGCTTTGATGATGAATCCGGCCGCAGGCAGGGGATTTTTGCGGGCCTGCGATGCCTGGATGTCCCGAAACATTCCAGTCATCCCAATCTCAGTTTGATAGGACATAGAGGTTCCAAAACCGGCATCAGAAGATCGGACAGTGCAGACAGGGTGACATTCTTGCACTCCCAGCCGGGGCAGCTCACTGGGTCTACAATGAGGGAGATCAAGACCTTGTTCTGGTTGTGCTGCAAGACACCACAAACGCAGTCAACCAACTTGACACAGAACGCAGGGTCAGGAATTCAAACTGATTTCATGTGTGTTAATGGTGTTATGTTTCTTCTTGATCCATCTTTGCTTAGAAAAGCTAGCTGTTAACCTAATCTAATATAATGACTGACAGAGATTGCCGGGAACCCGGAAGGCCAAAGCCAGGAACAGCAACAAGGGCAACAAGTGCAATGGGGCAAGAATATTTTCAGGGGATTCGATGTCAAGACTTTATCCGAGGCATTTAATGTCGACAAAGAAACAGCAAGAAAACTTCAATCTGAAGATGATCAAAGGGGCCACATTGTTGAAGTTGATCAAGGCCTTCATGTGCTAAGGCCTCCAACTACACAAGAACAAGAAGTGGGACAATGGCAAGGCTACAATGGCTTGGAAGAAACCATTTGCACCGCCAGGCTCAGGGAGATCATCGACAACCCCTCCCGCACGGACATCTACAACCCACAGGCCACAAGCCGGACGCTTCCACACCGTCAATAGCCTAAAGCTCCCCATTCTCAGCTTCTTCAGACTCAGAGCTGAAAGGGGAGTCCTCTACAAGGTACGCACGTAAGAGATGAAACATGTAGAAAACCATGAATGAATTGATAACTAGACGAGTCGTTTTTGTGATGCATGAGGATGTAGAAAAGCATGAATTAATGCTCCCTTCCTTAATCTTTAAATAAATTCTCTATATGTTCATTTTCATTCATTTGGGGTGGCAGAATGCTGTATTTGCGCCGCATTGGTATGTGAACGCGAACGGGGTGATGTACGTGACAAGGGGCGAGGGCAGGGTGCAAATAGTGGACCACAGGGGGCAGTGCGTTTTGGACGAGCAGCTGAGCGAGGGACAGGTGGTGGTGGTTCCGATGAACTATGCGGTTGTGGAGCAAGCTGGGAATAATCAAGGATTTGAGTGGGTTGGGTTCAATACCAATGACAACGCCATGATCAACACCATCGCCGGGCGCTCTTCCACTTTCCGGGGTTTACCCACATCCGTGGTCGCCAATGCATTGCAAATTTGGGAAGATGAAGCACAACAGCTCAAGTTTAACAGGGTGGAAACCATGATCTTCAGCCGTGATCCTAGGTTCTAGGATGTCTAGGTTCGGGAGAGATCAATTAGATAATAATAATAATCGCATGTTCCCTCTTTGCTTTGATCTGATAGTACGTTAAAAAAAAAAAGGGTCCGTAGTGCACTGGTTACGTTGAGGCCTGAGGGGATCCAAGAATAAATATGACACGAACTAAATTGACCATATTATGTGAGCGTGCCCTAGCCAATGTTTTCAGAACTGGACCGGACGGTTTGACTGCTTGGACCGTGAACCGGACGTACCATCGGTCTGATCTAGTATCAAACCCGTCAATTAATGAAAAATCGCGAGAAATTGGTCAAACCATATGAACCCTAAAAAACCGTACAAATCGTAACCCGATGATTTTTAAATTTTCAACAAAATGTCAAGAATGAGGCAACTCAAAGTCGAACATGATTTTTTAGCAACTTCATCAGGGTAAATTTTTTTTAGCTCAATTCCTCGTGGTAGCAAGGGGTAATTAATTACACATGATTGTTTAAGTTTTCTGAAACAAAAAATTTTCCCAAGTAAACCAACTCAACTTTTTAACTTGTGGAGAAGAGAATAGGGATAAATCGTGTGAAGCTAGCATTTATTTGCTTACCAAATACTACAAGGGTTACTCTCTTCAGTGACTCACAACATTGGTTGTTAATTTCTTTCTTCTTTTTTTTTAAAAAAAAAATTAAAGACAAGTAAAGAAAAATACTACTTCACCTTAGTGGGGGGCTGGGAAAATGCGATTAGGGAATTAAAAACATTCTCTTTAATCACTTCAAATGTCCTCCCTACGAGTTTAGCTTATTGTTCTTTATAATCACTTTCTATAATCAGTTTTTGCTAGATTTAATGCAAACAAAAAGAAAAGGTAATATTTGAGTAAAATACCCCTTTAAACAGCCGTTTTTTTTTTTTGTGAAGGAAATAGCCGTCATTGAAAAGCAAAGGTAAACGCTACTAACTTTACTAGTGTGTTGTTTACCGAAAAAGAAAAAAAAAGGAAAAAAAAAAGAGATAACAGTGTCCAGCGTGGGTCCTTTTTGTCCTTAGACGGAATTACCCTTCCGTGATTGAAAGAAGCGATAATTGCAAAAACCTCCCCTGAGATTTCTAATAGTTGCACTCACCTCCCTTAAAGTTTGAAAAATAGCATTAACCTTCCCTAAACTTAATATTTTGATAGCAACTTCAGCTCATGTTAGAGAAAATGCCATTAAAAAAGTTTTTTAGGAAGTGAGATGAAAATTTTGTTCCATTTGTACCCTTTTTACCTCTTGTGAGGTAGTATTAATAAAAGAATGAAAAACATTAAGAGATAGAAATAATTACTGAAACTCAAATGATATATGTGCAAAGAAAACAATAGCAACAGTAAAATTTGGAAGAAACAACTGACATATGTTCAGAAATATGAGGTTCTAAAGCATATAAAGAGACTCTTGATCAAGTAAAAATATTCACCTTTAATTAATATAAGAGAGTTTCCTATTGTTATACTTTATAGTATATCGATCTCACACTATTTACAATATTTCATACACAGTTATGTTTTTTTATGATTGACACAACAATTTCATCATACTATAACTAACACCACAATTTTGTGTATTAAGTTGAGACGACAAAGGATTAGTTACCTATCATCTTTTGATTGCTATAGATTTTAAACAGAAAAATCTTCAGATTTTGTATTGCTTCTGCTTCTCTTCTATGTAAAAAAAAATATACGATTTGCATTGTTCTCTCAAGTGATGTTCATCACAAATGGCACAATGTTGGAGTATCAAAATGGTACCATTTTGTAAATGCACTTACAGTGCCTAATAAAACAAAAAAATAACTGTTAATTTTTTTTAATTAGTTACGTTAGATTTATTTATTGTCCTAATTTTTTTTGCCTCAAATTTGTTTACTAACAACATTAAACTCGTAGGGTATATAGGTAAATTTATCCTATCTTATGCCAACTATAAGCTCTAAATTCATGATATGGGAGGTTAGTGCTATTTTTTAAATTTTAAGAGAGGTGATTGCAATTATTAGAAACCTCAAGGGAGGTTTCTATAATTATCCCTTGAAAGAAAAATCCCCGGAGAAAGGAAAGGATGGAAACGTCCACAAAAAAATGAAAATGTCAGTCCGAAGACAAAAAGACAGCGGCATCTGAGTTCGAAAAAGTATAGGGGGAGCAAGACACAGCGGCAGTGGCAGTACATATATCATATACTATGATATACCACTGTGTAAGACCCAACGTGCTCCTCTTCCCAAAGTGGTCGGTCCCGTTACCGGTGCGGTAACCATTCTCCCTTTCCCCTTTCTAGTTTCTGCCCGGATCTCAAATGGAGCACTAGTTTGTTTCTGCCCAGATCCAAAAACTCAAATTTATATATAAGTATTTCCCCACTCGGTGTTGCATGGAAAACCCAACAACTTAGATGCGTAAGTAGCGCTAGGAATTTTTTCTTTTAATCAGTTCCGAGATGGTGACATTATTGTTAGTTTGTTGTTTGAGTCGTCGACATCTTGTTTCCTCTCTCATCGTTTGCTTCTTGGCGGCGGCGGCTGCGGCATCAGCAGCAGCAACAACTCCAGGGTTTGTCTTCGCCAGAGCCAGAGGAAAATGCACTCCTCAGTAAGTTGAAGTTCCCCTCCCTCTTCACGGACCTCACCTCTCCTTTATCACTACTTTTTTTTAAAAAATTTTTTTACTATTTCTATTGCGGTATCGGTAGGTAGTGTTCTTTTTCTTTTATGAACTCAAATTTTGTATTCTAATTTTCATTTTGGGTATTTATTACTATTATTTCATTTGCATCATTATTCACGACTATCAATCAGGGGATAATGGAGGTAGATATGGGACGAGACGTTGTACCTACTAATAATGATTTTTGGCTAGAATGCTGTAGGAGTAATTAAAATAATTGTATATGTTTTTTGGGGCAGATACTGGAGCAGCAGAGCAGAGTCGTGGCCGAAAATGGTTCCCCAGATGTCTACGGTATCAAATGTATTTGGTTCCAGGGCCTTCGAGAGATTCAGGTACGATCTGACGCTATTAGAAGCAGCATCCAGAAACGACGACTTGGGCAACGCTTTTGCTGGGCTGGTCAAGGAGTCCACCGCCGCACTCCTCAACTCCTATGCCCGGAAGGGCTATCCCTACTCCGCTTGGGACATCAAGACTTTGGTGATCCAGGCTTTGGTCTCCAAACAGGCCGCTGCCCTTCAAGCTCAACGCTTTCGCCATGCCAATCAAGCTTGTAACCACTTTCATTTCTAGTTCTCCCGTTTTGATCCTGAATTTTTTTTGTGTCTCTCAAGTATTCTAATTCTTTTCTGTGGATCCCTATATATCTTTCTTTCGTGGTTTCTGTGTGTGTGTGACAAATGATTTTGCTCAGCTTATTTCTCTCCTTTTCTGCGAACCCATAATTAATTGATCAACCTTTTGGTACGGCTGCAAAACGTTACGTATCTGGGTAATGAGACCCTGCGATTTCCAATTCTCGAGGAGCGATGATAAACCGCAAGTTCTCAAGTGCTATCTCCGCCCACTTTCTTTGGAGTGGATTTATCGCTGGGAATTTCGCCATTTTCGTCCCTAAACTTTTACACTAAAACCAATTTCGTCCTTTATGATTTTTTTTAGCCAATTTAGTCCTTCGACTATTTTGAAGTCTCTAATGTAGGACTTTTGCGGCGGCGACACCATATTTTACATATTCCGTACAACCGATGCTGGGTATATCTGTCTTTTTAAATTAAATTCTTCAATTTAGACGGACTTTGACCATAGTTCTTCTTCTCCGATAGAAATCTCATCCCATTCACCAGAAATTCGCACAAACTCTCTAACACACTCAAATCATGAAATAAATTTCACAATAAAAAAACAAAAAATCAAGAACCATAAAGAAAGTGAAGCAAACATACTCTCAAGCAGAAGACATCATTTACGCCGACCTGGACGAGACGGCGAGCAAGGTGGCGTCCGAGAGTGGAGTCAGCAGAGTTGAAAGGAATGGGAGATTGATGGATGGTAACAGCGCCATTGGTGGGGAGACAACCGACGTCATTGCTGAGTGGCTTACACGTGTCCAATGCTCCGATCTTAGTAGTTCATGTTTTTTCGACGGTGAGACGAGGACGGCGATATCTAAGATGTCGGTTGTAGGTGCAAGTAAAAAGTAGCGGAAGGAAAAAATGAGAAAGTTCCAGAAAGTTGGGGAGAAAAGATGGAATTCCAATCCGTGGAGCTATTATTATATTTACCTTTGCTCTTTCTTTTTTTTTTGGTGGGTTCGATAAGGAAGGGAATTTTTTTTGCCTTGAGGAGCAGGTCTCGGCCTTTCTTTTGGAATGGGTGGTGACCGGTGAATGAATGTGGGAGGACAAGTGTGTGTGTGTGTGTATATATATATATATACGTGGTTGGCTGGATGGTCTCAGTTCTCAGAGCCCAGAGGGGTTACTATGGCAAAATGAAAAACAATCGGAGGAACCGGAAACCAGGGGCGGTCTCATCTTTTAACAAAGGGTGCTTGATTATTTTGGTATAGCGGTGGGAATCGGGTTGAGGCACGCCGCACGTCTTAAAGGAGAAATGGCTCTCAAACATACTCTCAAGTCTACTTGCAAACTCATTTCGTTTGGGCATTTTGTCAAACAGATTAAGGTCGTCACAAAAATTGAATATTTCGTATGAAATTTGACTATGGCTGAGTCGACAAATATCTTGTCAAGCTTCGTTCAGACAGAAAAGGTGAAAAAGAAACAACAAAATTGCAGCAAGTATCATTGTTCAATTTCATTCATCTACAAAACAAAGCATACGGGAAGAAGATAGCAATTTCAACAGCCAAAAAAATCATCTCAACCTAGAGATTAAAACAAAAAAAGGATTATGGAAACTGCACAGTACTTTCTTCATGATGATCTGTAAGTAGTGGTGGTTCTAGCAAGAAGATAGCAACTCCGGCAATGGTGATGGCGGCAGCGAGCTCCCCTTGCTCCTCGGATTCCCTTAATGCTTTTGTTGGTTTTCTGTTTTTGGTTCTTTTCTTCTTTTCTTGGGAAGAAAATGGAGTATACAACTCTACAACTAAGATT